AATCACTTATACTGATGCTAGGGTCAGGTGCCAGCCTTTTCATGGCTATCAAATGAGCTGTCAAATGATTTGAACCAAGACTGGAAAACAAGTAAACCCTAACAAGTACAACAAGCTCAACCCACAAAGTAATCCTACCAAGTACAGCAGGCTCATCTTACAAAGTAATCCTACCAAGTACAGCAGGCTCATCACACAAAGTAGTCCTACCTGGCCCACGCACTTAAAAAATAGTCCTACCCCATGGATTTCGCACATGTCTAAAAGTAATCCTACAACATTGCACAAGAACTCTGAGTTATCACAATTCTCTTACCCAACTTTCCAAAAAAAAATCATATTAACAAGCTTTCCACAAAACACAAAAATATTGTTTTTCATTTGAAACATGATACCAAAAAAGGTATAAAAATAAAATTGTCACTAAAAATGCAATTTAGAAATAGTTAGAAAAAGAGATAAAAATAGAATTGCCACCAAAATTGTCTCAAAATAGTTAAACAAAATTTGACTATTTTTGCTTTTATAGAATTAACTATTAGTTAAATATTTGTCTGCAGACAACAGAGTTAACTATTAGTTAGGAAATTGTCTTGCCCGATCTATAGGGTAGGTCTCTCGGCACGAGCAGTGTGGTGAGTGTGGACGTCACCTGCAACGCCAGGGGACTCCAGTGGCTGCCAAACAAAACGGGAATCATGTAGTCCGTGTTGTCCGGTGAGACTTCATGGTCGTGCAAGCATTGCAGTGCCCATGTGGCTTTATAATGCCTGATCAGGGTCCTCAACACAATCTAGCACAATGGGGGCATCTACCCGGTGACCCTGGTCGCGGATCATGTTGGCATAGAAGCTCATTTCATCTGTAGCTACGAGGGGTCCCTGTGCTATAAGGCCCTGGAGCCTTATGTCTTGCCTTGCGATGTCATCCAAAGGGACTGTTCTGCATGGACTTGAGTACATGATGGAACTGTGTGTGTGGCTCCGTTGTCAATGATGTACCATGTGGCAGGTGTCAGGAGACTGTTCAACGACATCGGAATCCCTGCCAAGGTCTTACAGTAACTACGATGGGCTGTTCAAAGGTGGTCAAACCCGCCTCAGCTTGGGTCAACTGGCCGCCAGTGGCACCTGGGCGGACACTGAGCTGGACAGGAACGCCCGCCGGGTCACACACTACGACATGGAAATCACTAGGTGGTAGCAGCTGGCGGCTCCAGGATATCTGATCACGCAAATCACCTGCGGCGTGAATGGACCCCTGCATGGTGTCTTGGGGGAACTGGAGGGACTCGTGTTGACTGTGGTGGGCGCCGTGGAGATCTTGGTCTGTCCGGGACCCGCCTGGAATCACACCCGAGATGGTCCCTCCCTTTCCCTTGCCCCGTGCTGATGGCACTTCGGTTGCACCTCTGACAGCTTCTGATTCCTCGATCACCTGTGCGGCGTGGCCGAGCATTGGCGCAGGGTGTGTGTGGTCTGCGAGCGACGACTGTGCCAGCAATGACTTATTGGCAAAAAACTCGAGGCCTCCTGTCGGCGATATGCCCTGATCTGATGTTGGGGGCGGCAGAGCTTTTCTTTTGCAGGACCCTCTGGAGCCTACCTCGTTTGGCAAATCGGCTGGTGCATCAAGTCGTGGGCTAGTCAAGCTTGAGACCTCATAGGGGAGATTAAACTTGGCAAATATATGGCGGCTTGGAACAGTGCAGACTCTTTGGAGTGCGCAAACGGCCGCAACATGTCGCCCCGAGCAGTGAAGGTGGCTTGAGCCAGGTTCAACAGGCCCTGTTCGGCCAGTGGCTTTGGGAACACCATGCCAAAAACTTTCCCCAAGGCTTCAGCTACCTGAGCAACATGCCAAAGGGCCTGTGCTGGTGAGGCCATCTGACCTAATGCGGTGAGGTCAAGTCGAGGTGGTCTGTCGGGACCATGTGCAGGATGGCCACTTCATCTGGATGGATGTGCCTCGTGTTGGGGATTTCTGCACCTCGGACTGATACTGGGATCAAGGCACCGTAGAGTCCTTTGTCGGCTAGGCGTTGTGGCGAAAAACCTCCAGACCTACAACCACATGCACAGGCCATGAGCTGTGAACCCCAGGCATGGAGAGCGGTCGAAAGGGGTTGTCTCGGATTCGCTGAGTTCTTTCCCAATCCCCAGGTTGGTCCGCAAAAACTTCCAGTTCATGTGGGGACAACTGCAGCTCTTGGATTTGATGGTCGGGCCACGCAGCAATGTTTGGGAGTAGGTGCCTAAACGACGGTGCGAACGGCAGGCTCGGAAACTTTTCCAACATGGGCATCTGAACCAGCGGATGACTCACAACTGCCCACCATCTTGTCCTCTTGGCCGGCCAAAAATCTTGCAAGTGGCATATCTGTTGTTGCAGCTTGTAACCAGAACTCTGACAGAATGCATGGAGTGTGTTCTGTACCCAAGGAGAGGTCATGGCTTCTTTCGTGCATTCCAAGACCAATGCCGTGGGCTGGAACAAGTAGCCCAATTTGATCATCCCTTCAAAGCTCTTGGCACGTGGGTCCAGCTGCTGTCTGCGGTCTCCCAATTGGGAGAATGGCTGGCATGCAAAGCCTCCTGTACAGATGCAGGGACTCGTCGTGAATGGCACTAATGCCAGGTGAACTTCAGTGCTATCTATGTCCCCTTCGATGACCGGGATGTTCTTGCTCTTGAGCCATTTGGCATACGTGTGGTTGAGCTCAACGTGGCACCTGATGTGACAACCGATCCACTTATAACCTGCTGTCATGACGGCATACCCTGCGCAAACGTCGATCACATCGGTGGCATTGGCACTATCGAAAAGGCCAGGGCATCTGAGGGTGGCTTGTTGGGCATCTACCAGGATGTAGCTGTCTTGGGCGTGCTTCACTCCTGCGATCACCGTGAATCGCTCTCCTTGCAGAGCCACGCCCTTCAAGAAAAAGTGTTGTCCAAGCAACCAGGTCGTGCAGCTATAGGCAGCTTTCCCAGGGTCGAAGAACCACGCATGGCCGGTCAGGGAAACTGACTCCCCTTCGGCCGCCAGATGCAACCATGGCCCCGGGCAGTAGGATCCCTCCCAAGTCATTGGCCTCCGTCACTGCACCAGCTGACAGGTACTTGGGCCGACACTTAGCGATGGCCTCCAACCTACTAGCACAGGCCTCCAAACGAAGAGCGAGGGCCTCCAACCTAAGAGCGATGGCCTCCAACCACAGCAATGGCCTCCAACCTAAGAACAAGGGCCTCCAACCTAGAGCGATGGCCACCAACCTAATAGCCATGGCCTCCAACCGAATAGCGATGGCCTCCAACCTACTAGCCTCAATCTCAACTCTAACTTTGTGTGGTGTCTGGTTCGGGCAAAGATTGGCTCAGAAAACCAAACGCTGGGGCCGAGGATGCAACGATCAAGCCAGCAGAACTCCAAGTGCTACAATTGACCCGTCTGTGTAAACAAAATGCAATTGAAGAAATGAGCGACGCCAGAAGATTGCAAGAAATGCATGAGGTTCGGTTGAGCATAGGAACTCAAAGGCAACACTCACCGAGGAATTGGGGCAAAACGAAATGTTCTTGCAGGGTGAAACTCAAAAAAGTGCATTGTCTTGATAATTTCTATTGACATCCTAGAGGGTATGCGTTCATGACAAAATGTTGAACCTGCTCACAATCTTAGTTCGCAACCGCAAAGTTGATCATGAAGACCAAGGATTGCGCAGCAGCCCCAAATGGAGGGAAGTCGTTGGACACTAGGGTTGACAGCATCAAGGCAAACTGTCGGAAGAAGGTACCTCAAACACAACACATTGGCTTGTGATCGCACGCAGAAAAAGGTCCACCATCTCATCTGCGGCTGTTTGCATGACATGGCACTAAAGATCAGAACCCAGCCGTAGGTGACGTAGCTACCATCCAGCCTATCTGGCCAATCTTGCTTCTCTGAGAAGCGCTCTTTGTTCTTCCACTTCATCTTGATCTCGCGCAAGTTGATCTCATCCTAACAACTGCTCATGAGTCATCATGAGTCCATACTACGATCACCAAACATGGCAAATCACAGCAACCCACCTTGCCCTTTCTTGATGCAGTTTGCAACAGCCAAGTACGACCGGGTCCTCAAGTGTTGCCTTGCGCTTCCGCATGTTGGCGAGCTCCTTGTCAAGCTCCCTCCCAGCCTTTGTCTCTGGGATCACAGCAGCACCACGCTGCTTCATTTTTGCCTTCAAGACTCATGGACTGGTGAACTTGTGGTACAAAAGAAGCTTGCACCAGTACTGCCAGTATGTATCATGCAACTTCGCACTCATGCGATTTCATGCGCCTCAAAGAGTGCACGCTTTGCTGCCGCTTCCTGGTCCCGGATGGAAGGATATGTCCGTACCGCCACGATGTTGCCTTGGCTCACCGGATCAATTGATTGAATTCGTAGTGCAAGGAAATTGCTCAGTCATCAATGTCGGCAGGCTTCACATGCTGATCAAACAGGCGGCTCAGCACTCGCAAACGCACGACTTCCACCCATCCCCTGCACCATCAAGTGAAACAATGTGAAAAGCAGCACGGCGAAGAATATGGTGTTCAAGCTTGTTCGGATTCTTTCGGTCATCAGGCCTCATGTTCTCGACACTCATCTCAACAGCAGCTACGTAAATGGGAATGCGGTCTCCTGGGCATGACACAGGAAAGTGGTTGAATGACTGCAGATTCAAAGAGTACCGGTTTGGTTGCGATAATTTTTTGATTTATTTTGCGAATTCAGGCTAGTGGCTTGTCTTGGTCCCTGCTTGCCAATGATAGCTCCAGTAAAGACAAACGTTCAGGGTTGCAAAGCCAAAGGCAAAAATAAACCAGAAAAAGCATGCGACTGTGAAGATCAAGAAGTACTGGTCGTCTGCCAGGTCACCTTAACCCATGTCATTTCACATGCGGGATGGGAGTAAGGCTTTGTGCATTCTCGGTATTCCTAGATTCTCCCCCAGCGCTGATAAAAGCACCCAATGATTATATTATGTAACTGATATTGGTGGTTTATCTCGATTCTACTGATTCACTTGGAGGCCACAATGTCTGTTCTTAGTTACCGGAGGCCCAGCTTCCAAACCAGGGAGGGAGCCACAGGACATCAAGTCAATCCAGTCGATGTCCTACAGTTGGATGGAAAACCTGTATGCGGCATACAACGTTTCCGAAGCATTTGCAGATTGAGAACACTATCGTGGATATCGTGCATCAGCTTCTGTTATATAAAGTTCTGCGGAACTGCATCCTCGAACTCCTGCCCTACAATGAACCTGCCCCTTAGAAACAAGATGGAACCCACGAACCCGAATGCAAACACGCACGTTCGAAAAACTAATATGTCCAAATGACACTCTTGTAGGACACTCTTGTGGGACACTCTTCTGGGACACTCTTGTAGGACACTCTTGTAGGACACTCTTGTAGGACACTCTTGTAAGAAACTCTTGTGGGACACTCTTGTAGGACACTCTTGTGGGACACTCTTGTAGGACACTCTTGTGGGACACTCTTGTGGGACACTCTTGTGGGAAACTCTTGTAGGACACTCTTGTGGGATACTCCTGTAGGACACTCTTAAGGGACACTCTTGTGAGACACTCTAGTGGGATACTGTTGTGGGAGAGTCTTGTAGGACACTCTTGTGGGACACTCTTGTAGGACACTCTTGTGGGACACTCCTCTGGGACACTCTTGTAGGACACTCTTGTGGGACACTCTTGTGGGTCACTCTTGCAGGAAACTCTTGTGGGACACTCTTGTAGGACACTCTTGTGGGACACTCTGTGGGGCACTCTTGTGGGACACTCTTGTAGGACACTCTTGTGGGTCACTTGCAGGACACTCTTGTGGGACATTCTTGTAGGAAACTCTTGTGGGACACTCTTCTAGGACACTCTTGTGGGACACTCTTGTGGGACACTCTTGTAGGACACTCTTGTGGGATACTCTTGTCGGACACTCTTAAGGGACACTCTTGTGAGACACTCTTGTGGGTCACTCTTGTAGGAAACTCTTGTGGGGCACTCTTGTAGGACACTCTTGTGGGACACTCTTATAGGACACTCTTGTGGAACACTCTTGTGGGACACTCTTGTGAGACACTCTTGTGGGACACTCTTGTGGGTCACTTGCAGGACACTCTTGTGGGACACTCTTGTAGGAAACTCTTGTGGGGCACTCTTGTGGGACACTCTTGTGGGACACTCTTGTGGGACACTCTTGTAGGACACTCTTGTGGGATGGATACTCTTGTCGGACACTCTTAAGACTCTTGTGAGACACTCTAGTGGGACACTGTTGCGGGACACTGTAGGACACTCTTGTGGGACACTCTTAACACTCTTGTGGGACACTCTTGTAGGACACTCTTGTGGGTCACTCTTGTAGGAAACTCTTGTGGGACACTCTTGTGGGACACTCTGTGGGACACTCTTGTGGGACACTCTTGTGGGACACTCTTGTGGGATACTCCTGTAGGACACTTTTAAGGGACACTCTTGTGAGACACTCTAGTGGGACACTGTTGCGGGACACTCTTGTGCAACTCTCTTCCAGCTCCCCAGATACTCCGCGTACTAAAGTTGTACTACAAGGTCGCCAGTTCTCAGCTTCCAGCTCCCCAGATACTCCGCGTACTACAGTTGTACTACAAGGTCGCCAGTTCTCAGCTTCCAGCTCCACAGATTGCTCCGCGTACTAGAGTTGTACTACCAAGTCACCAGTTCTCATCTTCCAGCTCGCCAGATACCCCGCGTACTAAAGTTGTACTACAAAGTCGCCAGTGCTCGCCTGCATTTCGCGCGCTCGACGCGCGCGATCTCCGCAGAGGGTTGCGCGGGCACCGGACAAATCGCACTCTCGCCTGCATTTCGCGCACTCGACGCGCACGGTCTCCGCAGAGGGTTGCGCGCGCATGGGACAAATCGCACTCTCGCCTGCATTTCGCACACTCGACACGCGCGATCTCCGCAGAGGGTTGCGCGTCAAGTCTCCAAAACGAGCGTTTCGTACGAGACTTCCTCAAAAACTCACACGTCAAAGTCTGCAAAACGAGCGTTTCGTACGAGACTTCCTCCAAAAGTCAAGCGGAAACACCCGTCAAAGCACACACATCACGCAGCCCTGCCAAGCAGTTTCGCGATTCCAGCCCCTCCAAACAACATCCGCTCACACGCCAATCCCAATCTGACAGCGACATTCACCTCTACCACAACTCACAACCTCACGATTCCCTGCGCCTGCCACAAATCTTTGTGGCATCCACACGTTTGACGCGCACAAAGTACTGCGCCTGCCACGAAATGTCACCTCCCTCACACCTCGCAGCCTCACGATTCCCTGCGCCTGCCACGACAATCGCACTTCCACCCTTCAAAACCCGCACGAAGTCCTGCGCCTGCCACGAAAAGTGACAATATCATCGCATGTGAGCTTCAACAAAATTTGCACCACACCACACGTTTGGAATGATTTCGACCCGTTCAGAGCACACTCCCATCCTCCAAAATCGCCATTTCAGCTGAGACTTGTCACGAAAACAGAGCTTCGATGCCACACCCTGAAACGCAAATCCCAATGGCGCGGCCACATCCAACACCCCAAAAACACGACTCTCCAAACGCTAATCCCAATGGCACTGCGCAGCAAACTGCGGATCTCACAAAACGCTGCGCCTGTGCAGCGAAATGCATCACGTTTCTTGCGCGACATGTCGGTGTCATGCAAATCACAATGGAATAGCGGCGCAAACTGACACGTGACACATCCATGCAAAGTCACTTGCAAAAGCTTCCCCCAATGGCAGCAAATTTGAGACGCGACGACGACACGACGCAAGTCATGCAAACACAGGTCCAACCCCCAGACCCCCAACTATAAACGGGAACCCTTCGCTACGCATTCGGGAACAAAACAAGATGGAGCCCACGAACCCGAATGCAAACACGTTCGAAAAGCTACATATGTCCAAATGACACTCTTGTAGGACACTCTTGTGGGACACTCTTGTGGGACACTCTTATAGGACACTCTTGTGGGACACTCTTGTAGGACACTCTTGTGGGTCACTCTTGTAGGAAGCTCTTGCGGGGCACTGTTTTGGAACACTCTTGTAAGACACTCTTGCGGGACACTCTTGTAGGACACTCTTGTGGGACACTCTTGTAGGACACTCTTGTGAGACACTCTTGAGGGGCACTCTCGTAGGACACTCTTGTGGGACACTCTTATAGGACACTCTTGTGGGTCACTCTTGTAGGACACTCTTGTGGGACACTTTTTTGTCGGGCACTCTTGTGGGTCACTCTTACACGACACTCTTGTAGGACACTCTTGTGGGACACTCTTACAGGACACTCTTGTGGGTCACTCTTATGGGACACTCTTGTCGGACATTCTTGTGGGACACTCTTGCGGGACACTCTTGTAGGACACTCTTGCGGGTCCCTCCTACCGGACACTCTTGTGGGACACTGTTGTAGGACACTCTTGTAGGACACTCTTGCGGGACACTCTTGTGGAACACTCTTGTGTCACTCTCACTCTTGTAGAAAACTCCTGTGGGACACTCTTGTAGGACACTCTTGTGGGACACTCTTATAGGACACTCTTGTCGGACACTCTTAAGGGACACTCTTTTTTTTGAGACACTCTTGTCGGACACTGTTGCGCGAAGCTCTTGTGGGACACTCATACGGGACACTCTTGTGTGACAGACTTGTGGGACACTCTGTCTGGGACACTCTTATAGGACACTCTTGTGGGACACTCTTATGGGACACTCTTGTAGGACACTCTTGTGGGACACTCTGGTAGGACACTCTTGGGGGTCACTCTTGTAGGAAGCTCTTGCGGGGCACTGGACACTCGCGCTCCCCAGTGGCATGGCGCCACGCAAACACTATTCCCATCAAGGCCAAATCCCAATGGCACTGCGACACCACGAACGTAATTTCGCCACACGGCCTGCCATACACCAAAAGATGGGACACTCTTGCGGGACACTCTTGTAGGACACTCTTGTGGGACACTCTTATAGGACACTCTTGTCGGACACTCTTAAGGGACACTCTTGTGAGACACTCTTGTCGGACACCGTTGCGCGAAACTCTTGTGGGACACTCTTGTGGGACACTCTTGTAGGACACTCTCGTGGGACACTCTTGTAGAACACTCTTGTGGGACACTCTTGCAGGAGACTCTTGCAGGACACTCTTGTAGGACACTCTTGTGGGACACTCTTGCGGGACTCTTGTGGCACACTCTTGTAGGAAACTCTTGTGGGACACTCTTATGGGACACTTTCGTGGGGCACTCTTAAGGGACACTCTTGCAGGACACTCTTGTGGGACACTCTTGTAGGAAGGTCTTGTGGGACACTCTTGTGGGTCACTCTTGTAGGAAGCTCTTGCGGGGCACTCTTTTGGGGCACTCTTGATACCACAAATCATCCCGCTCGCCAGCGACACGCCGCGTTTACGCCAGCCTGTTTCGCGCTCTCCAGTGGCACGGCGCCACGCAAACGCACTTTCCACATCCCCCTTCTGGAAGGTCTCTGGGGTGAGGGATTTCATTTTATAAGGAACAATCATTTATAAAATGGAGTCTCTCAGGCTGCTGCTTTATAAAATAAGAACCCGACCTTTTTATATAATGGTGAGTTGTGTTCGGAGAGCCAAAAAACTAAAATTTCAGAGGCGCCTTTTGTCTCTTTATGGAATGGCTTTCCACGTGCCAGTTATCATTTTGATACGAAAATGGCCCATGTTTATGGAATGCTCAACCAGGTTCGGCTTCATCCTCTCAGGATCTCTTGCGACAGACTCAAAAGTCCTCTGTGCGGACAAGTCTGCGATTCTAACTTTCTATGTAAATTTGCGACCT